GACAGACAGACAGACAGACAGACAGACAGAAGGAAAGTAAAGAAGTAGGACCTACCAGTGGCGCCCTCCAACACAAAAAAAAAGGAGGAGAGGAATGGACGACAGATATCTGATTGAAAAAATGGAGCAAACCATACCAGATATCGAGCACTCACCAACCATTCATAGAGCAGGAAAATAATTTTAATTTCCTTTTAATGTAGGTTTTTTTACGCCGACATCGATCCTACAATTTAGATCATTTAGGCGAAGCAGGCTTCTGACCGTGCCTGTTAGGGTCAATCCGGGCTGAGAGTGAAACACAATTCCAGCAGAAAGACTGAGATTGTACTCGATTTTTCTACTTTGAAATTGTCCTCATTAGGGAATCGAACTCGGGTCTCCTGCATGCGACAGCGATCAGCGCCTTTATAACCTCTACACCACACCATAGCCGCCGGTCCCTTCTTTTAGTTTAGTAAAGAGTTTTGCGGCACTTGCAACACAATAAGGTCATATATGTGCCGAAGATTAGAGGTGTTACAAGAGAGTAACAACAAACGTAAAAAAAGAAGGAGGAGAGATAAGGACGATAGATGTTTAAGAGGAAAGAAGGAGCAAACCACACCAGAGCACCCGCCAACCACCCACAGCGGCCGGTCCCTTCTTTTTAGTTTTAGTAAGTGTTTTATGGCACTTGCAACACCAAAAGGTCTTAATATAAGTGCCAAAAATTAATTAGAGGTGTTACAAGAGAGTAACAAACACAAAAAAGAAGGAGGGGGAGATACGGGCGATAGATGTTTGATAGGAAAGAAGAAGCAAACCACACCAGAGCAACCGCCAACCACCCGTGCTGGTCCCTTCGACTGGCTGTGAGTGTGAGTATGATGATGGTGACAATGATCGATGTTTGCCCGTGGCGTGGCGATAAAGGATCAGAGCGTGGGGAGATTATCCCAGATACTAATACTGTACGGCTGTTTGCACTGGGCCACAGGTATCAACCTGACCCGCAAGGCTTTCGGAGTAACTGGGAAAGCCTAGCTCTAGACCTGACCCAAATGCCTGCTCTACAATAGAGGTGGTAATGGTCTGACCTAATCGTACACTACACTGCTGGTTGCTGTTAGGGTTACCAGGCGTGCTGAAAAACACCGGGGGGGGGG